CGTGAGATGCGTGCGGAGGCCACGAGAGACATTTAGCTTCTTTCGCCGCTACTTCGACACTATCACCCCTGCCGAGGTACGTTTTATTTCAAAATTTATCTAAGCTTTGCTTTTCACTGCATATTTCAATAACGACAGATAACAAACTGTATGTCACTTTCAGATCATTTGGCAGCCTTGGGCTCCGTTGTCGGCGACGATTCGCGACCGATTTGCCGGTGCTGAGGAGACCTCGCATTTTCGGATCTTACTGGAGGTCCCGGTCTGTCGGGATTGGTACCTGGGTGAGCGTTTCCTACGCCAGACCCTAGGGTTACCAGAGCAGATAGTCCCGGTTTACCCCCCTGAGGACATGAGGGAGACCGAGAGACTCACTACTGAGCAGATGGCCGATTATACTATCGGCTGGGAGGTGACCCGCTTCAGAGGTATCGGCGACTACAGAGAGTACGTGCAGACGTACATTATGCGGTCTCTGAGCGGTGGCCGTCGAGCTGAGGGAGCCAGGCCCGTGGCGCCAGTAGCTAGGGCAGGAGCGGGAGCTGGAGCAGGAGCATCGAGGAGGGCTCGAGTCCGTGGTAGGGGCGGAGTTCAGGGAGGACGGGGGACCGGTTGACCTACTCTGCCCACTTTACTGACATACAGAGGGCAGGACGGGGCGACCTACCAGATCTCCTTTGCTCCTCCCCCGGCTAGTCATGAGTTAGCCGGCATCCCCGACTTGCCTCCGGTATGTATTACTTCATTTTGCATCTTGCATTTGGCATTTCATTTCAGTTTATTTGATATTCCGTGGAATACTGATATATCTTGTACTCTTGCAGGCGTCCTCCGAGTACACCGGCAGTCCGTGGATTTGAATGCCTCCATGATGGGGATGCTACAGCGGACCTTCGACCTCCTGGCCCTCTATAGTATTCCGGTATGTTCTTCTGATCACGGCCTCAAATCACTCACAAGCTGATTCACGTAATTTGATACATGACACAACACCTGACACACTGATCCCACAGCGTCTGATACACTGCATACACTGCATTCTGCACTGTACTCTGCACTGATAAACTACTCACGGCATTCACACACTGTACTCATACACCACATTCTGCACTGATAAACTGCTCATGGCATTCACACACTGTACTCATACACTGCATTCTGCACTGATAAGCTGTCCACAGTATTCACACACTGTACTCATACACTGCATTCTGCACTGATAAACTGTCCACAGTATACTGATGCATTTGCCTTTTATGTACTTTTTCAGCCTCCCTTCCAGATTTCCGTTGTAGGAGGTGCTCCAGCTGGACCTTCCGTCTCCGCCCGAGGGAGAGATGAGGAGGGCAGAGTATTCCCCCGCACCAAGGCGGGGCGCACTCATGTTGGGAGTAGTTCGCGGGCTCCAGTCCCTGATGATGACAATGACGAGGAGTCGGAGGCGGAGTCATCAGAGGAGGAGACCAGAGGCGGCACTGGCTCGGGCTTTGACGACGATGCTGATGATGCTCCTGGACCTACGTCCAGGAAGAGGACTAGGACAGACCGATAGCCCTCGGAGCCGCTTGACATGGATATAGATTTTCGTTGTTTTTCTTCTTTCTTGTACTTTTCCCTTTTGTTGGTAGTTAGGATACTTTGTACTGCCGCAGGCAGATTTTTGTTTCCAAAACTTGTGTACTTGAAAAGATGATGAAATGAAATAGGCTTTTTACCTGAAAAAGTGTTTACATCTGTATATCTTTACATTTCATACTTTGCATTGCATCACACCATATTACACCTCAATGTAAATGAAATTGATTGGTTGTCTGAAAATTGAACACTTGCACTGTAATAATCAGATAGCTAAACAGCCAACAACAAAATAACCCAAGGAAACCAATGCCTGATTCTGGACACACAGCCCTTACTCTACTGGGGATTAATCTGCATACAACTCGTAACACAACATTTTGTCCATTTTGCACACAGCAAATCCTGAACCAACAGGCCAATCTGATAAGACGGATTACGGAGCTGGAACCAGTTGAAGTTAAAACGTGCTCAGATGCCCCAATTTCTTTGTTCTTTTGCTTCACACAGATGTAGAGAATGGAACAACACTCTGAGCATAAACGATTTTTGAAATTAAATAAGGGTTTTTCAAACCTGGGTCTCGAGCCTAAAACCGAACACAGCGAGAAAGACTCAAACGAAAGGTGCACGACCAGAACACGATGAGACACGCTCGGAAAGGACTCAAAACAAAAGTTGAGACAAAACAAAAGACACGACATACAGACGCGTTAACGGAGACGGGGGACCTCAGATCACGAGGAGCCAGTTTCTCTGGGTATTGTTTCCCACCCTTTTCTCATTTGTGATTCTCACATCACTCTGGCACTCAAGCTCGGTTTTTTCCTCTCAAAACCCTTTTTCTTACTTTTCTCTCGACTTACACCTCTCTATTCTTTATTCTCTCATTTTTCGTCCCTCCCCAAGGTGATTAATGAACGAATAGGAAGTTGTGGGTTCATGCCCAATGCCATTAGCTCACAGCTATTTCTTCTAGTGGGTAAAGTGCCCTCCTGGCAACTATGTTGACGACAAGGGAAAGACAGAACGCCTGACTCAACTGTGCCCCTAGTTCATCATTTTGACCATTTTTGTTTTGGTTTTCTACTGAAACAGTTTTGATCAAGATGAGAGTCGGATTGACGTACTTGTTCGATTTTTGATTTGAAAACCATGCAAGTCAGGCTGTAAGCACTGAAAATTTTCTTTTTTGGGTCCAAGAAAATGGTCCAGTTTTGAAAAATGGAATAGTTTTTGAGAAAATAGTCCACCTCAGTAAAAATTTTCAAAAACTATTTTGCAAACAGTCAATGCTCAACGAGCATGGAACTTACTCTTTGAGATACGCAACCTCGGATCGGAGGCAATGGAAAATTGCCCCTGGCTTACAAGGGGTGGATGGCAACGGAAAGTTGCCCTTGGTTTGAACGGCGACTCACGACGACTCGTGGCAACGGAAAGTTGCCCCTTGTTTGGATGATACCGCAGCAGTCCGCAAACAGTCTTCATTTATGGTGGTCGAACTCTTGGACACGGAGATGACGAAGACGGTCGTAACAAATATATGGACACAGTCACTTTGGAAGCATTGGCGATTGGACTTTGGGATGAAATCGAAACCATTGTATGGACTGAGATGCTATGAAAGCGTTGGGGGCTAGACTTCATGGTGAAGTTGCCTACGTATCCCAAACATGGGAATCAAGCCTCACGTAGTTCCGGTTAAGGAGAGCAACAGTATTTTAACCTTCACTTTGTTTGGCTCTCACTTTTGCCAAGGCGCCCAATGCGGGTTTTCGACCTTGCGAACTTCT